AGGGGAAACAAGAATTATAATGCACAAACCGCTATTCTATCTGTCCCAAAAAGATTTCTATGGGTTTGTAGAAGCACTTTCCATGCTTTTCAAAGAATTTTTGACGAAGTGTACAAAACGTATTGTCGGGAGAATTCGAGATCTTTAGAGGACTATCTATAAAAAACGAAAAGGTTGCTCAGTTTTTAATAAAAAGTAGTATACTCATGGAGATGCTAGCATTTTTTATTTTGAAACTGAGCGTAAGGAGCCATTACGAGACTGCTTTTTGACGTGATGTGATGGCTTGTGCACCTCTGTGACCCAACGAGCTAAACGGGGTGGCTTTTATCAAGCCAGGAGATCTTATCATACCTAGAAGGCCAGACGAAGTTCAGTCTCCTGGTCCTCAAGGTTGCGGGTTCAACTGGAACTTGCGCTTCAGTCGGAAAAAATGGTGGAGAAATAATTAATGCAAGTGAATGAGCCTCTACTTTGCTTCACACGCTGCCTTGCGGTTAGGTTCTTGTTAGAACTAAAGGCCTTGGACGAGAACCCTAATCGTTCTCCTGCTTAGTGGCTGGACACACTAGCAGTACCCGTCCATCGTACCCCAATACATACACAAAATACCACTAACCTTTATGCACTGTGAGTCTGGCAGCGATCAATGAAGTTCTCCTCACTGTATTTCACTGTACGACGATGATGATGATGATGATGATGATGATGATGATGATGATGATGATAACGAGCTATCTGACTCGTGTGTGTTGGGTCCCGTAGTTCCGTTATCCCATCATTGTAAAAGTAGCCATACGGGGATCTGCACGTCACTTGAAGAGGGGGATACAAATTTGCAATAACGGATACACTACATTGGTTTTTCTGTGATATCCTTGTCTTTAGCCGAAAAAATCCACTAATTACTTGGTTAGAAACACCGAAAGACATGTTAGTAAACAAATTGCGTTGGTATACCGGTTCTCACTTGTTTGTTAGTCATGCCGTTCGATCAGACAGACAATTTGCGATCGAACATGAACACTCAGTTTGGCTAGGTCATATTCGAATGAGATTGCGCTACCGCTACTGAGATTTCAATATCACCGCCAAAAATTCTTCCTGTAATCATGACACTTTGATGAGGTCAATGGACCGCTGGAACCAAAATAAGCCGAAGTAGGTGGATGGATCATAACTTAAATAAATCGTTTCCAACTCCCAATTACTCATGAGTAGTAATGTCTATTACGTGATTTTTATATTGATCGTTTGTCGTCCATACTGTATAAACGAGCACAATCCATAATTCACCAAGTCAACCGCATACTAGGGAGACTCGAGTTTTACCTGTATTAGAGTTCATCAGTAGTGCCAATCTGCTGGTGACTTTCATTGGAGCTGACATTTAGCTTGTTTCAAATTTAGCTTGTTGTCTCCCTGTGGAAGTGTCCGGCCAACAGCTAACTGGTGATATTGGAGAACGACCTTTGAACAAAATGCAATTTGGAACTCCAGTCAGACCGGATTTGCGCTGGTTGCACAGTGGTTTGGGTTTGAAATCTTGGACGGGGCGGTAGATATTCACCACTGATGAGCTCTAATGAGAGCAAATTGGAGTTTGGCGCCTTCTGAGTGTACGAGTAATTGTATGTATGGATGATGGTGGGTGCGAGTAGAATTTCAAGGGTGTTCAGTCGCGATGGAAACCTTTCCATTTTTTATTATCATTTACACCTATCATTACACCTATTTTCTTTTTTATGAAACTCCTCATTGTGCTTCCAAAACTCATGAGCTTCATTATACCAGATGTCTCTATAGTTTACCGATTGATATCGTCCTCGTGTAGTGAAAACAGTGAGGCGAAATTCGTTCACCGTTATCAAACTCAATGTTATTGTAGCTGAAAGCTTGTATATGACTCGCTGAAGCTTCAATACAATACCTTACAATGCAGAACAATAAATTATACGAACGTGTCCGGTCGATTATGAGTGCGTCTTTTCTGATTTGACGAAAAAGCAAAATGAGCCACGATGACTAAAACAGGATACACAGCTTAACTGTGCACAATCGTTCTCTCCACCCGCTAAAATCAGATAAAAGGAACGTCGCTGCTTCCCGTTCACTGTAATATCCTTCAGTGTCTCCAGTTACACCCTTTGTTTGACTCCTTTCTAGAATATAAGAGACACCTAACCTGCCTAATGTCTTAATGGACCTATTTCGTATTCCATCTTCACTTTATCTGTCTACCTAAATGTGATTTTCTCCGATCTGACATGGTAACAAGAAACGTGGGATGGTGCAGCATACCACTTTTAGGTGCATGCAACACGTACACTAGCCAGAGGAACATAATATTCAAAACATTTTCTGATAACAAATTTTCTTGGTTGAAAAGCGGCTTACTTCAGTATTGTCCATCTGCGTTCCATCTTATTGGGGTCACAATTGATAAACTTGTATCATCTAAAATATCTAGTCGACCGATGCCTTCCACAAGAAAATTCATGGTCTCCTATTAATAAAGGGGGGATGATCGAACATTGACATAGTACATGCCATTTTTCAACTTCGAGAAAATGCCAAAGCTTCTTTACTCATGCGAACATAGTTCTAGACTTAAATATACGCTGGATCACGTCCAGTAGTGTTGTTGTAAGAGAAGCAATCAACTGTAATCAGCTCTTGATCATTGACCTTATAATCACCCAACATTGAAGCATCTCTTCACCCTTTCAAAGTGTGAATCATTTACCGAAATGGTTACCGGAGCTTGCAAAAGGAAGATGATGTCGTCAGTGCAGTTCAGATTGAATAGGCTTCCTCCTCACCCTTGAAGAACATTTCAGATGCTTACAAAAGACTTGCTAAGCTCATCATAGACCCTTAATACAATGAAAATGTGCGAGCAGAGTAACTTCATTAGATTGCTCTACTTCCATGGCACCACCTTGCAAAGAATGGAATCGAATAGAGTCCACGGTCAACTAAACCAGACGCACCACTGCTGACCAAAAACCGGTGCAGTTATTCGTTGCTGGTGAATGTGAGTGTGATCTTAAATGAGGACTTCATGGCACATGAAGAGCTGAGCAATATAGTTGCTACCTGGTAGGAGTTCGTCGTTAGATGGAGCAATATTACGAAGGCTAAAACTGTCGGCTATCGGAATCAAACCTATTCGGAGGTAGTTTGCCCAATGTTAATGAAATACAGTCCTCCAATCAGATATTTTGCAACAAACGCTAATAACACTCACGATCGAATCACCTCCATCTTGAAAGGAGTTAGTGGAAGTTCCTCAAGTCCGGTTGTCTTTCTACTGTTCAAAGCTTGAGCACAAGTTCAGTTGAGTTCAATTAAGTTTTAAAACCATGCACTTTCATGCCCCGGTTTGCCTTTATACTTATGTTTGGGGTGTTCACACGACAATGCCGAAGACGCTTTAGCTGCAGTCACCCAAGTAGTAATCTAGCTAACTTACGTTTAACTAAACCGCTACTCGAAGTATTCTGATCTGCTATAAAATGACACCTAACGACGTCTTATTCTACTTAACTAATTTGATTTAATGTTAAGAATGATCAATCGATTTTTGTGAAGAAACCTCCATTGCATCTCCGTGTTTTCGGTTTTCAAAACAAGTTCACACTTACAGCATTGGACCAAGTGGGTTTGTGAAAACGGTTCTGAATTCAAATAGAAGCGAAATCCTCCTCGTTTGGCAACAGACGAGCTGATGATTTAGCTAATTAAGAACTGTAGCTAACCTAATAAATCGCTTTGATGCTAGTTGTTATCAAAACTAAATAAATCCTTTTGTTGATATGTTGAATCATTGAATATTCGTAAGTATTCCGGATTTTTTTGAGACACCTGGCGGTTTCGCTTACGTTGATCGTAAATGAAACAAAACATTATTCCGTTGCATCAGCAATAATTAACACCATGAGTGAACGGTGGGCTGTCTCATCCCTACTAGGACTCTTTAGCATTGCGTGCCCTATGTAGCCCTGTCAATAGGCGAACCGCGACTGATAATAACAGTTTCAGATACATGTAAATTTCGAATGGCCTAAATACAATAAAAATATCCTAAATTAATACAGTTATTTGCTCGAAGTGTTCACCTTCACTCGCATACCTAATGGTTAGGGGGTTTTGAGTCCCAATGGGAACGTTTGAGCACCGAGAACAAATAAAACCGTTGCTGAAGTGTCCCAGTAATTTCGAAACAAATGCTTAATGCCCTTTTTCGTAATGAAAACGAATTTCATCTTTGCATCATTATCTTTGCTTCCGCGCTGAATAAACCATTTTCAGCCAGGTCAAACCTGATTCCAACTAACCAACAAGCGGCATAGCAACCACACCCGCCCACACATTCCTGGTTATGGCCGAAGTCATCGGCTCGATCGAGTAACTAGGCTTATTGGGCACCTTGAACGTTTGATCCCATCCCAATCCAATGAACTAAACACAGGCCCCCAACGGAATACGGTTTTCACACACCGTCCTCACTGCCTTACGGCTTTGGCGAACCAAAGGCTCCGGTTGTGAATTCCCATTGATACTGAACTTGGGAAACCTGTCAGTAATTGCACCCGCGAGCAGATCATGGAACATTTTTTATAAGGATAATTGTACTTTCATCTGTTTGGCATGCATTCGGAACTCATATATACGCCAATAACTCTAAAGTTTTCTGACTCAGCAAATGCATGAGTTTTAGAAGGGAATTCACCGTCAATGTTTACCCTAAACCAGTGATTCTTCATGCAATACTCAATCTAGTCAAATTGAAAAATATATAGATTAGCACATCTTACACCCCACTAGATTCGCTGGCTGTCCCTTGGTAATGATTTCAGAATGTTCAATTAAAGCCATGGCTTATTCTCCTGGAATAGTCCTTTTTCGAAAACAGGTTAAAAATGGTAGGTTTCCAAACGTGTTGAAGGCTAGGACTGAAGTGAAAGAAACAAATTCATTGCGATCGGAATGTACTTTTATGCCTCAGTCAGATCATCGTTGTAGTACAAATGAATTTGGGGTGGATACTGATCCTCAATGTCTTGTGTTTCCTCGTGGATCCCGTTCTCCTCCAATGTCTTATTCATGTCTAACACTTCACCATTGTACTTCCACGCGTACGAAGCTGCATGCGCGTTGAAAGGCAAATAACGTGCCATTATCTCGGTCATGGTTTCTTCGCTGCATACCTAAAGGGAAAACATGAGAGTAGAAAATGAGATAGCTTTTGATGCTTTCAAGGGATTAATGACGATGCAAAAGCTAAAAATTCATTCCATTTTTACATGCATAACGGACTAATTAAAAGAGATTACCAATGCCAAATCTGTTGCGAAATCTTGTCTTCCTTCATCTGTTGCTGACTAAATATCACCGTCTTCCTTTGAAACCATTGGGGGTTGATTTCCAGGGCGGGTTCACCAAACTCGGAAATTTCCACGTCCGCAACCAGGATAGGCGAATGTTCTCAGTCAGAATGACTGCAGCCGGATGAAAAGTGTGATAACTTGTTACGAGCAACATCTCGGTCAGTGGAACAACATCCTCGATCATGCTGATAAACTTGCCCAAACCTTCAGACCCTTTTTTTCATCATGACTCTGCCGATTGGTTCAGGTTTGTCGAGGAATGACTTTACTTTCGATGTCTCTACTGCTGCTCTTATTTTAACAGAGGCTGTTCATCATGGAATACATCTTTTCGCCCCCCCCCCCCCC